GGATACTAAGGAGCACATCAAGAAATTCATCAAAAGGACTCTGCCAGTTTTCCATGAAAAGCTGTATTATATCCCGTTAACTGAATTTTCTCTGGTTTACGAGGTGGAGACTCCATTGAAGACAAAAGAAGAGAAGATAAAAAGTATGGGAATCGGGCCGAAAGTTTTAATAAGTCCAGGTTCCAAGGGTCTGGTCAGTCAGCTAAGACTCCGAACACCACCAAGAACACAACGACAATCGCTCTAGATTTGAGAGCTACAAATGTGCCACTAAAGAGGTTTTCTAACTTTGGCACTCCTCTCTCTAGAGTATTTGAGAAAGTGAAAATGGCGGGTCTATTACGATCGCTTATGCTGAGACCTCCTCCAGCCATTTTGCCCAAGAACTACGATTAGAGTGCTTATTGCCAATACTATCAGGGTAAGGGCCACACGACTGATAATCGCTTGCAATTGAGGCATGAGATACAAGATCTGATCGACAGTGGTGAAGTGATAGATCTAGAAAAATTAAGGCCGAGCACGAGGACTAATCCACTTTTGAATTTTAAGAATGTGCCACCTCCTAAGAACTTATATATGGTTGAGTCTAGAGAGACTCCCGAGGAGGTACTTGTCGAGTTTGAAAAGGAGGAGGAAAGAGAGAGGGAGATGGAGGAGCCTTATATAGGTGGTGTGTGAGTCTAGAGGAGACGGCCCGAGGAGGTACTCTCTGTCGAGTTTTGAAAAGGAAACGGAGGAAAGAGAGAGGGAGATGCTGTTGGAGACAAATTACGTGATGGTGCTAAATGGTGGGATACGCGATGAGGCGTGGTTGAAAACAGCGAGCAAGTTTGGGTTTGAGTGAGATGAAGTAAAAACAACACAAAACAACACGTAGCCACACAAAAAACCCCAACAACCAACACCTAACCAAACCCACCATAGAGGTAAATCCGTTCTTCCTACAGACACTTTATGGGAGCTAGCGAGGAATTTGAGAAAGAAGCAAGAGCAGTAAGCCATGTGACCTCCGCAGTGGTCGACGTGTAATCAGCCAAAATATGACAAGCGGAGGAAGAAAAAGAAAAAGCGAGCTCATCGGATACGCCAGAAAGAAGGAAGTAGAAAGATGATGCCCGGGAAGAAAAAGAAAAAGCGAGCTCATCGGATACGCCAAAGAAGGAAGTAGAAGATGATGCCCTAATGAGACAATTGAAAAGAACCTATAAAACATAAGCATGTGGGATCTGTTGGTATCATCAAAACAACACGGAGAGTCTTTACTAAAAGCCATGATGGAGACTTCGATTTCATTATCCATTTCTTTTAGCTGATTTTATAGAGATAGTGCAACATGATCGCCTCACTATCACTTTTTCTGATGATGAAATTCCTCATAAAGGAAGGAATCACGCCAAGGCATTATTCATTAAGGTTGAGGTCGGAGGAAGAGTGACCAAAAACGTAATGATAGATGATGGGTCAGCTCTGAATGTTTGTTCGTTAAAGCTGCTTTCCAAGTTCAAATTGGAATTATCAGATTTGGAATCTTCTGATATTGTGATTAGAGCATATGACGACTCTAAGAGACAAGTAGAGGACGTTTTCAAAACAAGGGTCAAGGTGGGGTTCATTGAAAAGGAGACCGAGTTCATTGTAATAGAAATTGCCCCGACATTTGCCTTACTCTTAAGGTGCCCATGTTATCATTCCTTGGGAGTAGTAAAATTAATGCTACACTAGAAAATTAAATTTCCCTTCAAAGGGAAAATCACCACCATACCTGCTACTAGTGAAAGGAGTGTAGCTATGTTCAATATGGACAAGAAAATAATCTTCCATAGACTGGTCTTGAGATTGTTGTACTTAGCATTGACATAGGGCCCACCATCTCTAACATCATTAAGAGGATGAATTATGACGAAGGAAAAGGGCTTGGAAAGAATCAGCAAGGCATTGTAGAGCTACTTAAAGTCCACACTCAAAGGGACTGTCAAGGCTGGTATAAATTTGGAAGCACACTAAAGAGAACATATGGCTGGTTGGAATGGATGGACGATTCGTCTGTTCGAGTGAGCATTCCTCTATATGTCTGCCAATAGAGCCTTTTGAGCATAATGGAAAGACGTATCTCGGTTTAGAAATCTTTGCTGATGTTATTGATATCTGGCGATTGAGCGTAAGAGACTAAAACTTGAGGAAGGGAAAGAACAAAAAGAAGAAGAGAAGATACCCGAGAAAGAGGGCTTTAAGGGGCCACAAGTTGCTGAGGAAGAAAGAAAAAGGAACCGGAAGAGGGGCCAGCTACCCAAGAAGAGAGGAAGGAAGAGAAGAATAAAGAGAAGGTGAGCATTGAAGAAGAAGAGGACCTTGCAAATCAAGTGCTAAAAGCGATCTGAGCTTGTATAGAAGAGAGCTTTGAAGAAGCTGAGATCACTTCTAATGTGTTGATTTCTTTCAAGGATGAATCTGATTATAATGAACTTTCATTATTGTTTAATAAAATGAACTTCAATTTTGCTTACTTGTTTGATGTCTTTCCTAATGGTTCCATTCATCGAGTAGATAAGCACATGCACATATTTAACATGTAGATAAGCAAAACTTCAATTTTGCTTACTTGTTTGATGTCTTTCCTAATGGTTCCATTCATCGAGTAGATAAGCACATGCACATATTTAACATTAACTCATCATGCGTGCTTGAATTTAATATTGGCACAAAAGATAATCCACAAATTCTATTAATTGGCCAAACCTAACGCCAGAGTTAAACAAACAATTTCAAATTCTACTCATGGACAAAAAGGAAGCCTTTGCATGGAGTTACGAAGATATGCCAGGGATAGATAGGTCTATAGCTGAGCACACAATTCCTCTGTATCTTGGAACCAAGCTAATAAAGTAGAAAAGAAGAAGGTTAAGACCAGAATGGGCCGAGAAAATTAAAGAGGAAGTGACCAAATAGATAGATGAAGGTTTTCTTGAAGTGGTTCACTATCCAGAATTGTTGGCAAACATAGCCCCAGTTTCTAAAAAAGATGGAAGGGTCAGAATGTGTGTTGACTACAAGGATTTGAATAAAGAATCACCGAAGGATGATTTTCTTCTCCGTTATATAGATATCCTGATCGATAGTGCAGCAACGATGGGATGCTACTCCATTATAGATGAGTTTGTAGGGTATAATTAGATTCTCATGGCATTACTAGACAAAGGCAAGACAACATTTGTGATGAAGTTTGGTATGTTCTTCTATCGGGTGATGTCGTTTGGCTTAAAGAACGCTGAGGCTACTTATCAAAGGATGGCAACCACATTATTTCATGACATGATTCATAAGGGGTTAGAGGCGTATATCGATGATATGATTGTCATGACGAAGACACTGGAACAGCACCAGAAGCCCTGGAAAAGTTCACGGATAGAGTGATTAAATACAACCTGCGATTGAATCCGAAGAAGTGTGTGTTTGGGTTGACTTCCGGAAAAGTGCTAGGATTCATAGTAGGACCTAAGGAAATAGAGATCGATCCAGACAAGATTAAGGCAATCCAAGAAATGGACCCGCCTAAGATGGAGAAGCAAGTGAGAAGCTTTCTGGGAAAGATTCAATAAATTAGCAAGTTCATCTCAAAGTTGTCTATAGAATGTGATCCAATCTTCAAGCTTTTAAAGAAAGATCAACCAGTAAAGTGGAACCATAATTGTCACATAGCTTTTGATAAAATCAAGGAATATTTGTTAAGTCCCTCGGTTTGTGCCCACTAAAGCCAAGGAAACCCTTAATTCTATACTTGGCAGTGGAGGATGCTAGAATTAGAGCCGCACAAGCTGATGAAGCCGGTGTTGAGAAAGTAGTATTACTTGAGTAAAAAGCTTCTTCCAAATGAATAGAAATATAACCTAATTGAAAGAACTCGCTTAGCAATGGTATGGGCTACCAGAAAACTTTGACATTATTTTCAGTCTTATAAAGTGGTAGCAGTATTGAGAATGGATCCGGTCAGATATTTATATGGAACACCAGCACTAGTGGGGAAATTAGCAAGATGGCTAATCCTACTATCAGAATTTGATATCGAATCACTAGTGGGGAAATTAGCAAGATGGCTAATCCTACTATCAGAATTTGATATCGAATATACCACAAATAAAACCGTTAAAGGATGAGCAGTTGCAGACTTTCTAACGGCACATCTAGTTGAAGATAATGAACAGCGGGAGATTGATTTTCCCGATGAACATTTTGAGTTTTATAGAAAAGAAAGGATGAAAGCTCTATTTTGATGGTTTAGCTCATAGTAAATGTAACGCCCTAATTTTTCTGTGTCTAAAATAATAGTTTTACCGGTCTGTAAATAGTACCACCGGTCCGGGAGTCAGTATTATTTTGGTCCAGAAAAATGGTCCAGAAAATTATCTATCTTACTGTTTCATATTTTATTTATAAAGCGAGTATGCATACATGATTTTTTTATGGGTAAGAAAAAATAAGTAATGAATATTTTTGGAGAATTTTAATAATTAGTGAATAGTGAATTATGGTGTTATACTTAAGTAAGGAAATTTGAGAATTATTTTTAAGGATTAAATTTGAGAATTTTATGGAGATAAATAATATTTTGAAGGAATTTACTTGGAGATTATTTGTAGCCATTAGATGAGATTACTTGACTTAATCCTAGCTATCCAATTAGGGGAAAAGACTAAAATACCCTTGTTGCTTTATATAAGTCAACCATCAATTATTGTACAACCATTTTTCTTTCTTCTTCTTTTTTCCTTACACGTCTCCTCCTCCTCCTCCTTCTTCTTCTTCTTCTTCATTTTCTTCAATTCTTCCTTACTAAAAACATCAAATTCACCCCAACCAACTTGATTTAAGTTATTAATCCTAGAGATTAAAGCTTGGGAAGTGATTTTTGGTGAATTATTTCAAGAAATTTGGAATTTATTTCAAGAAATTTGGGATCTCTACTTGAGACAAAGGTTGGAGAAACTCACCATGGGTAAAGGCCTCTACCATGGAGTAAAGGCAAATTTAGAGCTTAAAAAGCTTTAATTTAAGCTTGCTAAAGCTTATTTTTAAGGTTAGTGTTCATAAACACACTTACCTTCCTCTAATTTTTGATTTTGTGCCTTTATGCTATCATGTGTATATTTTGGGATTTTGTATGAAATGATTGATTTGTTTAATTTTGGTTGCAATAATATGCTCTTGGGTGATGTTTGATGAGTACTTATTATGTGGTCGACATTTCTACCTTATACCTTTGTTGTTCATGTTCTTTTCATGGTTGAAGAAAGCTGAATTTGGGAAAAATGGGTTATTGAGTGAGATTAAGGACCATTTTCCGATCCTTTTTAGTTTTCATTTGTGTCGGAGTCCTTCATAAACGTTGTAGGTCTACTTCTCAGCTTTTCAACCCATCCTCTTGTGTCCAATTTGGAGATATATAGCTCAACTTAGGATTGAAACATCCAAACTGACTCTGTTATGTCGGGCCATATGCATCACTGAATTGATGACTGTGGTTATGACGGGCCACATTGCAGTCACTTGAATTGATTAGCCATTTTGACCACTATAATGCAAGAATTATGTTCTGAGTCTTCATGAAGTATGTCATGCCCTGTGTTTGAAGGACTCTCTCGGTTTGATTGATAGCAGTTGTAAGTGTGTGTGGGTTAAGGAGTAAGGATTCAATAAACATTGGAAACTTGGTTTTCTGCTGAAATCAGGTCCTGGACTGTGGTCCTGTGTTCCTAGCTTTTGTTTGCTATCTTACCAATTGATCTGGGCTGTGGTCCCTTCATAATATTTGTAGAATTTTGTCTTATCTTTCTAATGAAATCTAATTTCATTCAATTTGGAGACATATAACTCAAGTTATGTCTTAAAAACACAGCAAAGGTTAAGGTTATTTTAATGCTAGAAATTTCCTATGCCTTGAATCATAGGTTTATTTGGATAAATGTATGTATGAATCATTGTGATGAGGTTCTCTTGATTATTTGTATGTTTGAGGATTAATTTGACCAAAATAAGATATAAGTTTGAAAAGTGTTATTGTAGCTATGTTTATATGGATATAAATGGGCAAAATTATTGGAAATTTTATAAAGTGTGGAATTAGTTTAGATAATGCATGATGAGGATAGAAATGGATACTTTGGTGCATAAGAGTTATGTTAGTAGTATGCTTGGTTGGAGAAGGAAATTCCTCCCCTTGGTTTTCATTAAGAGGCCAAACCACTCTAGGGTGGTAAGGCTTACTCTAGGGTGGTAAGGCTAACTTAATTATTATTTTTTGTATGGATATGGCCTATCAGGTATATCTATGAGACTAAGTAGGGATAGTTGATAATTTCAATATGTTTAGAGTTTTATTATTAAGGAAAAAAAAGGGTATTAAGATGTAGTGCTTTGAATTTTGAATAAGGTAAAGTAGTAAGAAGTTTCTTATGATAAATTTCATTATGACTTCAAGAACGTTTTAAAAGAAAAGGAATTTATAAGAAATTTCTTATATTAAGTAATTATGTTTAAGTATGAAGTTTTCATGAGTCACTTAAGTTCAAAAGTAAGCTTACATGTATGATTTCATATGATAAGAAATTTTTTATGTTAATTTTCATGAGTTACTTATGTTCTAAAGTAAGCTTACATTATGAATTTAAGACGACTAAAGAATAAGACAAGTTTTAGGAGAAGTATTATGAATTAAGAATTAAAACAAGGATTTTGGGCTCTAATATACTTGATGTGAATTTGATGCGAGATTTGATTTTATTATGTATGATATGATGAGCATGGCTCGCATTTGATGCCATTATGATACGAAGCTATGATCATATGCTAGCATGTGGGTGTCTTATGTTAGGGCGGACTGCGCTCTACTATGTTATGAAAAGTTTGGCGAACTAAGGCATTATGAAAAAAGTTATGAAAACCTATTCTGCTTCTCTTTCCTCCTAAGTGGTATGCGAGCTTGGAAAATATTTTTTAACGCACTAAATATAAGATTATATTATTTTCAGTAAACCTTAGTTTGGAAATAACATCTGATTATGTTCTCAAATTATATTTTCAAAGGCATTGAATATTTGATACATGGTTATTTAAAGATAAATAGTATGTGTAATTGGTATAGCGATAAATGTCGCCAATAATGAATTTTGTGATTTGGGAATGAAAATTAACTTATTTTATGTTATTAATTGTTATTAATTATAAGTTTATTTGATATTTCTTTTGCTATAAATGTAAATGTACGTTCTTTTGATGAAAATTTATATTTTAAGTGTGTTGCCAGTGCAACATTGGTAAGTTTGTCATTTATGAGCACCATTGAGTTTTATAATCAGTGCGTTCATTTTTATCACGCGCAGGTTGAAGTCCGTGGTTGCTACTTGAATATCAGAAGAGTAGCTTCAGACCAGAAGCGACTATTTTAGTAGTGGTAGAATTAGTTTGATGTACTTAAGAATCATAGCATGTATAATTATTACATTTTTGGAGATTATGTTATTTGAATTATAACTTAAGCATGTAATGATAAATTAGTTTGGTGTATATATTTAGAGATAAGCATGAGATTTTATTTAATGTTTGGATATAAAATATGTTTAAGATAGTTCGTATGATTAAGAACATAAGGACTTGATATAGGACTTGATATATAGTATATGAATGAATGCATTTTAATTGATAGATCATTAAAATGCTATGAGGGTTTCTATAGTATAAAGGTAAATAGAAGTGTTTGTTGTGGTTGCTATGGTGATTACTGGAGTTTGCTGGGGTTTAGAGTTTAAAAATTGGGGAGTGTTTTGTATTCACATGTTGGCGAGCTCGTTTTTATAAGGGAAACTCTTGTAGTTTTTGTTATAGGATTTTTCCCTCCTAAATTGTTTTCATAAGTTATATATATATATGTTCAAAAACAAATTGAAAAATTACTCGTCTAAACTTAATCAATACTTAATCACTTCTAATTTCATAATCGTGATTTTTTATAATTTTCCTATGTTATGTTTAGGACGGTGGGTCTCCGGCACGAATGTTGGCAATCCGCCGTCGGATTTTATAATTTATATGTTATGTTAGGACGGTGTCTCCGGCACCGAATGTGGCATCCGCCGTCGGGTCTCTTGGGGTTGGGCGGCGGGTGTTACAGTAAAGGTGCCGGGGTAGGCATTTTGCCAGAATCTCCACAAGGAGAGGTTATCCCGATGTTGGAGAGGTTACAGTTTGCAGTCACAAATAACATGGCAGAGTATGAAGCTTGCCTATTGTGGGTTAGAAGCTCTGATTGCAGTTAAAGCTGATGAAATTGAAGTTATTGGTGATTCGAAGTTGGTAATTGAGCACGCTAACGACAATTGGGAAGTTAAAGAGGATAGACTGAAGCCTTACATTGACCATTTGCGCATTGTTGTTCAAAACTTCAAAAAGGTAATCTTCACACATACAAGCAGAGTAAACAACCGAGTACCAAATGCCTTGGCTAACTTAGCATCAGCTTGGTAAGTGATTTCGGTAATGCGTAAAAAGCCATTTGTGATGTCTTCGAGAAGCATTCCGTGCTATGAAGGCGAAAAGATTATGGATGTTGAGGAGGAAGAGAAGCCATGGTTTTATAATCTCCTGCAGTGGATGACTAAAAGGGTATACCCAGATTCAGCTACTAGAAATGACAGAAGAGCTATATAGCGTTTGGCATTATAATTTGCAGTCTTAGACGATCAGTTGTACAAAAGAATGTCAAATGAGGTATTATTAAGATGTGTATCGAAGAAAGAAACTGAAGGGATTATGGAACAGATCCATGTAGGGGTTTGCGGCACCCACATAAACGGAAAAGCGCTTACTAAGAAAATTATTAGACAGGGTTTCTTTTGGTCGACAATGGAAGAAAAGCGCTTACTAAGAAAATTATTAGACAGGGTTTCTTTTGGTCGACAATGGAAAATGATTGTATTTCTTTTGTGAAAAGGTGCTTCGAATGCCAAATACACGGGGACCTAAATCACATTCCTCCTTCAGAATTACATCCTTCTATTTTGCTATGGCCATTTGCAACTTGGGGAATAGATATCATTGGCAAGATTTCACCACTTGCATCTAATGGACACGAGTTTATAGTGGACTATTTATCAAGATGGGTTGAAGCAGAATCATTTAGAACATAGATGCCAAGCAAATGGCCAAATTTATTAAAAAGAACCTGAAATGTAGATATGAAATCCCCCATCATATTGTGACAAACAATGGAGTTCAGTTCCAACCAGAAGTAAAATTGCTATTAGAGAAATATGGAGTCGAACACCATTAGTCTTCACCTTACAGACCGTAAGCTAATGGGGCAGTGGAAGCCGCAAATAAAAACATCAAGAAGATATTGAGGAAAATCATCGTGATTAGGCAAGCAAGCTACAATGTGCTTTATGGAGATACTGGACCACAACCAACTCTACGAATGGGTAACCCCTAATTCTCTTTTCTACGGGATGGAAGCTGTAGTACAAACTGAGATAGAAGTGCAGTCCTTGCACATAATGATGGAATCTAAGATTCCAGAATGTCAATGGGTAGAAATTCACTGTTAAGAATTAGCACTCCTAGATGGAAAAAGGCTTAATGCTAGATTCATGGATTAATTATATAAGAGGAGGATAGCTAAGCACTTCAATAAGAGAGTTCATCCAAAGCTACTTAGAATAGGGGATTTGGTTCTGAAACAGATGTGGCCGAACAATAATGATCCAAAGGGGAAGTTTAAGCCTAACTGGGAGGGCCCATTCTTGATTAAGAAGTTATTTTCCAAAGGTGTAGTGAAGCTATTAGACATGGAAGGCAATGAGTTTACCAAACCAGTCAACATGGATAGATTGAAGAAATTTTAGGTATAGCTTGAAACGTTTATAGCGAAGCCCAATCAATAAATTCACCTTTTTTGTTCTTATTAACTTTAAAGCTTGTTATGATAAGTTTATGTTAATATGTAAATGTTGTGAATTTACCTTAATGAAATAAAATTACAGGAAATATATCAAACATTTTAAAGAAAAAGTCATTTCATTCATAATAAGTGCATACATTACATAAATTGCATATTGTTTAGTATATTTCATTAGAAATAAAGATAAAAGCATCAACATGCCAGGTCCTAATAGAAATTTAGCTGTCAACAGATCAGTCAACTCTGAATCAACACTAACTCCAGAATAAGCTTGCAGCTAAGTGTAGTACAAATCTGAGGAAGAGGTATTGGCCACATCAGAAATGGATTTAGCTGTCAACAGATCAGTCAACTCTGAATCAACACTAACTCCAGAATAAGCTTGCAGCTAAGTGTAGTACAAATCTGAGGAAGAGGTATTGGCCACATCAGAAATGGGTACAGTCGTGCGACTAGGCCAAGTGGAAATAAAGCGAGATAAGAATCATTGTGTAAGAAGGCCGCCCTCGAACTACATGTAATCAGGGACAGCCTGATGACAACCGTATTGCCTAGCTACGTGGCTGGGATAATAAGCAAGTGCCATGGACAACCCACACAAGGGCACACAGAGCATGTAAGAGGAAATTGTGACTCGCTCTATGTAACACCAGGGGCAAGTCCATCTGACTCCCTTGAAGGTAAGATCCTATAATTAGCAGTCCAGTCTTCCACAGTCTCGTCAATCAATCGGCGTAGATGTGGGACATAGACTTGTGGTCTATAATCGAACATCAAATGGTCCGCTGGTGGAGCCATCACTTGTAGCTTCTCAAAAGCCCACAACTGCAAATGCATTCAAAAAAAAAAAAAGAGAAAGAGCTTGTTAAATTGAAACCCGCAAGGCCGGGTTAAGCAAAAGTTAGAGCAATAAATATATAATAATAAGAGAAAAGCTCGTTAAGTCGAAAACCTGCAAGGGCGGCTTAAGCAAAAGTTAGAGCATAAAAAAAGAAGAAATAACTTACCTGCAGTAGAAGTGAACTCCCCATCGGACTGAGCACCAAGCTAGAGTCTTGAGCATACTCTCCCAGCTAAGTAAATGTCTTTGCCAGAATAAGTGGGAAAGGCATGTGTTGCCTAGCCATTTACTCGAATATGGGCACCAACCTAAGGTTGCCATAGCCATTAATGCCACTGAGTAGCAAGTACTGATTAAGAAGGTAGAAGCAAAGAAGAGAAGGGTAGAATAGGCTAGCACGGTCCATACCCAAGGCACGGTCGACAAGCGATCACAGGGGCACGATATCAGCTCCAAAATCATAAGACGGTATCTCATAAGTCGTAAAACCGAATACAGGCAAAATTAGTGAAGCAGGGTCAATATTTAGATGGGGCACCATAGGAATTTCTTCAACCATGGGTATTATCCTAGAAATAATGCTGAGTTCTTTAAATAATGGACAGATCTCAAAATCGTTGTGCCGAAAAGTTGTCCGAAGGATCAAAGTGGTTGATCAACCATTGTAGCAACCCGGGTTGAACCTGAATGTTCCAGTAATAACTTAGCCCGTTGAGTTCGAATGGAGACAGTAAGTCCCAATCCTCACTACTAAAACTGTTGAATAATACTTCAAATGCAGGCGTTAAAGTCCGATCCTTGGAAAATGGGGAAGAAATGAGAAGTTTGGAGGAGTTTTGAGTGAAAGTGTTGTCTAGAATAAGAGAGAAGAGCTTTTGTAGTGCATAGGGTGTATTATGTGTTCTCATAGCAAGAAAAGAAAGGATAAATTGATAGTTGGTTTCCAGTGCAGTGCTAGTGGCGCACGCCACTAGTTAGCAGTCAGTTGGAAGAATCCTGTTCTTTTGTTTTTTTTTCGATTTTCAGATTCAATCAGCAGCATGAATGTTAACCAAGAAACACGAATACACCAATATCATTTAAAAACTTATAAAGAGACTGTCTTCTAGCCTTCTCATATGAAAATAATCATCCTTTATAGGAAAATTCCCCTAAGCCGGGCCCGAGTACAAAAAACAGAAGAAAAGGGAAAAACAAGTAGAAATAAGATGGGGCAGCCATCTCAAGACATGTTTGAGGCCGTCTCTTCCGAGTCTTCGTTGCCAGACTCCTCGGTCTCTTTAATGATCATCAGCTGGCGTCCAGCTTCGCGACCCGCATGCCCGCCATGCTATATCCCTCGGCCCCGACCAGTAGGAGGCACCATGTCAACTCTTTGCACACATTCATAAATATTAGTAATTGCATTACACGCATGCATGGCATATGCATTGCAGGTCTTCTTTTTTTTTTTTTTTGTAATGTTTATACTCACAGATATATGCTCATCTGAGAGCCTCGCCTCTGCCAACTTCAAGCAAGCTGCTTCATACAGTTGGCACACCTTGTTATTGTTATAGAAAAACACCTGTAAAATAATACAGGGAAGGGGCAAACAATAAGAAAGCATAATAATAAAAAGCAATATTCAAAATAAAATGAGTAAAAGGTACTCACGTGAGTGCAGCTGAACGGTGACATCCGATATGGACTCACAAGAGCATGCCCTGAGCGGGCTGCCCTGTACAGTCCAGAATAAAAGAGAACGAAGCACCTGGCCTATGCTCGGGC